ATCTGCAAGGGCAAACACTTGGGGCTGATGAGTAATATTAAGTGATACCACTGGATGGCGCTATTATAGAGTGAATGAAAGAAAACATTTGGGCTAGGTACAGATAGTCAAAAAGCGCGAGGCTGAATCGATTCAGTTTTTGCAGGTTAGTCTAAACTGCACAGATTAAATTGAAACAGAAGTGAACAGACATTTACCTTTGATTCAGGAAATGCAGCCACATGCTTGCAGTGGAGCATGGCTTTCTGGTTGTGTGTTCACTTCCTCTTCCTGCTGGCCCCAAGGTCTTTGGGATTTGCAGTCCATAATCATAGAAACAGGACTCTGCAGGGTTGCTCATCACTTCCTCTTACTGCTTTCATGTGCCTCTGGGATTTGTAGTCCGCAGTTGTAGCCAGCAGTAAGTTTGAGCAGGGGCAGGGGTGTTTAACCCCCCTCCCTCGCCCCAGACCTCAGCTGGGATTTGCCTGGGGGAGTAGCCCCTGCCCCCCCACTCCTGCATAGACTGGGCTTTATCCCCAGCCAGGCTTGCCTCCCCCATCCACTTGTCAGCCAGCCCTCACTGCTCCAGCTTGGGAACAGGGGAGGGGCCAGCCCTGCTCTCTGGAGCAGACAGCCCAGCCCAGCCTTGACTCAGAAAGGGGTCTGGGACAGAAGTTTCATAAATCAATTTAAGCCAAATCAGTTAAGTCCAATACTACATTCAGCCAGGTTTATGTTAAACCAGTTTCATGCATTTTGAAACTGGTTTATGTGCACTGAGCTTCTGTTTTGTTACAGGTTTACATCAGTTTTGATCACTTAAACTAGTTTATGTGTAACTTCTGTCCCTAGCCTTGGAAACAGAACCCCTTCATCTCTAATAGTACAAATAAATAGGCTGAAAAGCAGCTAATAAATCTCATAATGTAATTCTGGGAAGATGTCCTGACATCTAGTACACAAAGAAGGTCATCCAAGACTATTTACTAATTTGTGTTTGTCATGCCTTAAAATGGATTGGAAGATATTTCTGTAAAACAATATATGCTAATTGGAAGAGAAGCTGTGGGAGATGCACAGTTATCACCTTTTCTTAGAAAAAGTTAATAGTTATTCCTAATGGTGAAATGGTGACTCTTGAATAGCCACTCGTATATCACACATTCCTGATGGGGAGTGAAATGAGAAATGAAATAATTCAAAAATCAGGACCAGTACTTTCCCCTCACCTACCCAATATGGCTAAAATTCCATTTAAATCATCATCTCCCTCATAAAGAAATCTTTAAACACTAAAACACAAAATTTATATTGTTATTTACAAAATACTCATATTTATGACTCAAACAGCCAACATGAATTATTTAAAAATTCAGAGATGATGTTCATTGAATATTTTCAGGTGCTTTCTTTATAATCAGAAGTGTGATCTGTCAGTTTTGTGAGTTCCATGTTTGATTTCTAAATTCTACATGTTCTTTTTTTATTGAACTACCAGCATTGCAAACTCTGTTGTGGATATTAACTCCACACTGAATCCCTTCCTCATTGTGCATCAACATTGGTTATAAGGGTCAGTGTTTGCCCTAGTATAAATGATGGAAACTTGATAAGTTAATCCATGCATGATGCGTGAAGAAAAGAATCCAGCTCACTCTCTCTGAGAAGTGTCAAGCCTGTTCAAAAGTGAAAAAAAGCAGTAGGGAACAAGCCCCAAACTTTTTTGCAGTAATATGAATAAATGATTCTCAATAAATACCAAGCTAAGATCTATGTAGTAACAAAACACCATTTTTATCCACTCACTCTTTAGAGTAAAACTTTAAAATAAAGCTATAAAAACTCATAAGAGAATAAAACCTAAATCTGATGCCACTGAGAAATAAAATTATTCCTATTTCAACTTGGAAGATGTCCAAGTCAAAATGGGCCTGTATTTTAAAGATTGAATTGAGTAATTCTAACTAGCCAGTCACTACATAATAGCCTTAATTAGTCACAGATATAAGAAAAATGGATTGGAAAGCAAAAAGGTAATATAAAATATAATACCTAGGGAATTTTGAGATGTGTTGTTTTCATTGGTATGTGCCTACTAAAGGAAAATGCTATCTGCTATATCATTATTTCTGGAGCAGATTTTGACCACAGTGAAGCGTTTGTGAAGGCTAAAGGTAAAAAATATAATTGCTTAGGCAATTACATTTTTTCTTAAAGAAATTAAAGACAGCATATTTACCAGAGGCAATCTGCCCTGGAATAAATCTAATCAGCACACAGGACTTGTTAGATCATGAAAAAGAAATGTGAATTGTGGAAAAAATGGCTTAAGTGTTATTGCTTGAAAGCCTACTTTGTAAACTGTTTTATCTTTAGAAAAGGGAGCCATGTTGTATATTAAAATTCCATGCATGCTTTTCCCTGAATTGAAGAGGTTTGAGAGAGAACCTTCTTATGATTACATAGCTCTGAGTGGTGCCTTTTTCATTTGTTGGTTGTTTGATGTTAGTGTCATCTGCTCAGGTTTTTGTGTATTATATTTTTATATAATGTAAGCAAATACTATCCTTCATAGTGATGATTAAAAGATACCAACATCTTAAAACCATATGTGGTAGACTATCAATTTTTTTTGTTACTGAGAACACCTTGGTGGATTAACATTGATATAGCCTTCGATTTTCTTCCAGATAATAAACATTCACTTGATTTCACTTGGAATTTCTTAATGATTCAGTAGTGAAATAAAGCAGGTGAACAAAAATAGCTATTAACATTAGAATTATGAAGCCAGTAGTTATGCCTCTGTTAAAGGGAAACTTGTAACATAATCTTAAGAACTAATTCCTTTTTTGTTGCAGATTCTTAAGTTGCATTAAACAAAGTATATACTTGGACACAAGCCGTCTTAATGGTCCATCAAGCACAACTTGTGTAAAAGTATGTAAACCAAATCTAGTCAGCTACTTTTAATTATTTGAGAATGAGGGAAGCTCAAAACAAAGCACAACTTTCTTTGCCAGCAATAATTATAAATTATTCATCCTGTGTGTCATCCTCTATGCTCAGTCCAGAGAGGAGGTGACTTCCACTTTTATATTTACTTCTACATTTATGCATAGTACTTTAGCTGAAACTGTGGAGGCTAACACTTTTAGCTCCAGATTTCCTAGTTCAATTCCCACTCACCTGTGGACAACTTAAAAACAAACAACTAATGGCAGAAATTTCACATTTGCTGTATTTTGTAGATCTCGTTAAGATTGAAGATTTTAAAGAAAGCCAAATTTGAAGGAGAAAAACTAGTTGAAGTATTTTAAAACTTTTAAAAAAAAAAACTAGTTCTTGCATACTCATTGGCTAAGTACAGACAGTCAAAAAACCGGAGGCTGAATCGATTGAATCTTTGGAAATTGATCTAAACTGTTCACGTGCTTATTGGTTCAATATACACAGACATTCACTTTTGATTCTGGAAATGCAGCCACATGCCTGCAATGACCCAGGCTAGAAGCTGGGGCTGCTAAAGCATGCATCCTGCTCATCTGGAGCAAACAGCTTGGGCCAAGGCTAGCCCACCCACCATGTGGGGGGGGGGGCAGGTTTCAGGGGAGGTGCAAAGCATCGTTGGATGCTGGAGGACTGAGAGTTAAGTTGAATCTGGAGGGAATATGGGACAAAAGTTCAATAAATCAATTTAACCGAATCAGTTAAGTCTGATAGTACATCCAGGTTTATTTTAAGCTGGTTTCAGTGTTTTGAAAAAGGTTTATGTGCACTTAACTTCTGTTGTGTTACAGATTTGAAATGGTTTCTGATCACTTATACTGGTTCATGTACCATTTGTGTCCCTAGGCATTATCATTAATTTTTATTTCTAAACAGTTTTTATAATTTTTTTTGGCACAGTGGACCCATTGAAAAATGCATTTGCTTTAGTGTAATCATTGAAAGCAAAGTAGTTTTAAATCTACTGAGTCACTGTGTAGAAAACTTTTTAGGTCTGGATCCACATATAGCACTAGCTGTTAATTGAACACTAGCCATACATGTAGATCTTTATTCCGTTCTATTTTATGATCCGTGTTTCTCCAAGGGCTGATTTGGTGTACACTCTTTTGTCCTCATTGCACATATTGATGCAGGTGTATTTTAAGCTACATTTTCACACATTTGTCTTGCAGCAGACAGAACTTGGTTCCAAATATTTACTTATGAGCTTATATATTAAATTGTGAATTTAGAGAAGCCATTGTTGTTTTGGATAACTTCATTAGAGTCTAGACAGTCCTATGTAACTAAATTGCCTTCTCTGATCTGATATGAATGGTGATGTAAAATTTAAAACAGCTATGTTTGTTTCAGCTGAACTTGAAATACATGAAAAATATTGGTAAGCAAGCTCTGAACCCAAACTTCAGCTTAAAATGCTCTCAATTTAAAAGAGAGTGATCTATGGGAAACTTGGTCTATTTTATGGCAGGGGGGTGGTGATAGTTTGTTGTGTTAATAAAAAGAAGGGTTCAGTCTTGGATTTCAAACTAAACATCCTATCTGGCAGTGCAAGGATTTATAATGGTCCATTCAGCTGCCCTACTATATCTTCCTAAAATAACTTTGGAAGTAATGATAATTCCCAAGTTCTTTGTCTTTCTTAAAGTTGTCTACGTCTCACTGTTAATCAGTATTATGACTGTTGATATGGTGAAAAGTTTGACATGAAGACTTACAGAATTATTGTTCTTAAAGCCAAGTGGTGTGATGACCTGCATGACCTATCTAAATAGTTTAAACAAATAGATCTTCTAAAAGCATGCAAGTCACTTCAACGGAATTCTATTCCTGTATACTTTTATTAGGGTTAGCAGATGGGCACTACTCATTTTTGGCATTCATTGACAAGCCAGCAACCACTCCAGGTGGTTCTACAAAAATGATAATACCATGGCACTTCTCCCACTTTATTTTTATTCTTCTCAGACTAGTCAGTCACCTGTTTCTATTCCCTCTATTTAAAGCCATCTGTTGGCTTTCTCACTGTCTGCCCAAGCTCTTTGGGTATTCACCATTCCAAAATCACCAAGGGATCTCCAGCAGAAGCTAGAGACAAGTCTTTGTTTGTGTACTTGGTATTTAGGAGTACTTGGAGATCTTGTTTTTTTTATCTCTTCTCTCTAGGCCACTTCTGGGTTTAGGTATCTGTGACTCTTTGTGATATAGTAATGCATGACTTCCAACTTCACTGATTGTACTTGTCTCATTATGGAACCATTACATTACTTCCCATTTTAGATGCAACAGTTCTCTTACCTTTTGTGTTAAAGAGGAAAAAAATAGGAAAAAAAATCAATTTTCCAGGTTTGCTTTCATGCTTTCACCTACTCATCACACCAGAAAATTCAAATTTTAATTAAAAATGATGAGCCAAAAATTTATGTAAAATATGTTTTTACAAGTTCACTTGACAGAGGGTTTATTTTTTGGGGGGGGGGGGGGGGGGGGTTTTGG